TGCTGGCCCCACTAACACCTCTTCCAGCAGCAACCTTAGTTTTCCCAGGAGGTCTCCCATCCAGGTACTGACCAGGCTCACACCTGCTGAGCTTCAGTGGGTTGCCAGTTGTGAGTTGCAGGGTGATATGGCTGCTGGGATATCATATATTGATATGATATCCCTCTGAAGAAGACTGCTGTTTGGGTGACTGGCTTGAGGTTTGAAAAGAACTGTGAATAACTGAAAGGCAATTAGCAAACACAGTCTGTAGGCAGAACTCATTATTTTCACTTGGGATGCCTATACAAAGTGATTGAGTATTATAAAACGCTTTCATTGTGAAGAAATAAACCATGGAGCAATGCAATGTGGTTCAAATACAACAACAGCAAAGGGTGCCAAAGGACACTAAGACTGCCTGCACTGAGCAGATGTGTGGTGCATCATGGACACAGATGATATTCCTGCTCAGCACATACAGCACTCTGTCGTGTGAACTGGCACTGTGCTGAGACTATGCTCACTATGTGAATGTGACTCAGGTTTCATTTCTCCACAGTGCACGGTTGTTTGACCAGGCCAACAAACTTCATGGGACCCTTATATCTATTCAAGAAATCGATGAACACCAATCAAAACATGTTTTAGTAAATGAGCCCTCTGAAAACTTTATTTATATGAGTCATGCTATATACAGACTACATACAGTATATAAATCTGTCTCGTGAAACAGTGGAGATCAATATATTATGTACTGATACACGCTTCTAAGGTTATTTTCAAAACTCACCCGGTAAAACATCTTACAATCAAACCTTCCATCTTCATTCCTAGAAACAATGGTACACAACACTTCTTTGGATTTCAGCATCGTCAATTGAAGGGAAACAAACACCAATTCTGAAATTCTGAAGCTGTAGAAAAACAATTCTTAAACTGGTATTGATGTACTGTAGCTGTAGCGATACATTAAAAAGGAAAAATTCTGATTATAAATCATGAAAAAAAATAAAATAGCAACTGTGAAACTGGTGGATG